TTCGTTGCCAACGCTTTTAAAAGTCGATTTTTATCGATTTTATCGATTCGTTGTTGCAGCCCTATCTGCGTGTGTGTCGCAGTTAAATCAGACATGCCACTCCCTCCCTTCCGCAGACACTCTGGTGCACCTAAACAAAATTGTAGGTAACCGCAGACTGTGCCGTCGATAGTGTCACAGGAAGGAGAGAAAAGAGGCCTCTGATTGGTCAATTCTACATCCACTCTATTTGGTAGTTAATGGCAGAAACTCTGGCTGTAGTGCCATCCATAACACCTGGCCCACCTTTGACACTATCCCAGACACCGTACAGTATGCTAGTTTGTAGTTCTCTGTGAAGGTCTGTTGATTTGCCCCCAAAGCCAAACCATGCAGCACCATGGCCAGTCTTTTGATATCACTCACAAGTGAACTGTGTGTCGTCTGCCGTTGGATGAGGGGTTGCAAACGGTGAACAACCTCATCAAGCTGACACACGGACACCAACAATCCTAGCTAGTCCATGATCTTGCTTTGTGGCGTGGAATAACATAGCGCAGACCATGCTTCAAATTTGAGCATAAATAAAAAAATCTCGGTCATACCTGCGACAAGCTAACTGTGACACACTGCTGCAAGAGTATACACAGCCCTTCAGGGGTTTGGCTCTGTGTGCTCTTCTCTGCTAACCTGACTCCACCAGATGGATTTGCTCTGCATATCCATCTGGAAACTTTTGGTTGAAGTAATTTTGGGAAGGGGCGAAAATACTGGTTAGCTAATTGGCCTATGTTGGTGATAGACGGGCCAAATAAACCAATCAGATCGACGAAGCATATGACGTACTAACAGCCAGGCTACTCCTGCCGAAACCAGTCGGGAGAAGAGCAAAAACATATTTTCCTCTGAGAAAAGCCTCCAGAGCAGTGTTTTGCTCTTCTTTCAGTGAAGAAATACTCTGTAATTCCGATAAAACTTGCTCGATAGCCACGCTAACGCTAGTTTCATCGGCTGAAGCCGCCATGTTCTTTAGACTGAACTGTCGCGCTTCTTGCGTCACACCTCAACCCGCCCCAAAGCCAACGCTGATTGGACGTTCGTTTGGTGAACGGCTCCAAATTTTCTTCTACGGAGAGTCTCCAGACTGATTAGCGATTGAAATCTTGAAAGCTCGCGAGATCAGGATGGTCTCACGAGGCTACTTATCTGCCGTTATCTGGTGAGTGTGGCCACCTCTATGTCTACCCTCATTGTGTGCCAGTGATCTGGGGTGCCTCTCGATATCTGGGGCAGGATCGCCTCTTTATTGATCCTGGGCCCTTCAGCGTGAGTCTGGGACTGCCTACACCTGGTAATAAACATATTTTCCTTCTGAGAAGCTTTGTAAATCCTTTATACACGAGCATGCCCATGCATACCTACCACAGGAGTTTGGTTCCAGGTGCTCATGGATACCAACTAATACTATATACTAAGAGGCAGCTAGAGATATATACCACCCTGAATAATACTGTGTAATCACAATAGGTTTTGCCTTCGACACACATGGATATCTAAGGGATACCTGCTGCTCTTGAAGCCTTTTCTTGATGTTTACTTTTTTTGTCTGTTGTTTATCTCTTTTCTTTCCCTCTTGTCGCATACAGGTGTGGAAGCAGACTTCTAAGAATTACTGTATCTTCTGTGTTGTCTATTTTTACTGTTTTGTTATATTTATTTTTTGTCTCTATGTCTTTCTTTCTCCCCTTAGTTCTTACAGCCTTTTTCTTCCTCACCTCCCTTTCCATCTCTATGTCTATTGCTTTTAAAGGAAAATTCAGGTCACTAAGGAATAATAACTAGGTCATTATCTATACCTAAAACAAATACGTTTGCGGTTATTTAATTAAGTGAGTAAAAGAATTGTTATTTCACCTTTCCGATGCATGATCCTCCACAGACGGGTTACTGCGGTCCTGGTTGTTGGATTGCCAACTTAAAGAGGGAGGATTTGCCATCCAACTTCTGGCCAGAAAAAAAAGCATGTACTATATAGCCAACATTTCAAAAGAGAATGTTTTCAAGATGAATTGGATAGTAGGGCATTGTGAAAACACCAGATAAAGCACTGGGACTTGCTCAACTGCAGACACCACATCGTGACGTCACAAACCGGTAAATGGCAGTAGTGTTCTTTAACAAACATGGATGTCTCCAGTAAAGCACATTTATATGAAATTACTCTTAATTAAAAACACTTCTATTGAACAGTTTGTAATAATTTTATATTTAAAGTACTTTCAGAGGTTTGAATTCTGAATATGACCAGACCTTTCCTTTAAATTTTACTCCAGGAATAATTTTCAATAAAGTTTCATATACAAGTACTAAGTAGAACTTTATAGCAACAGTCATAATGGTCTGCTTGTGAAAGCAAATCTGTTGGGCTAACCTCTGGCTCAGGGACATATATTCCCAGAGCTTTATTAGCAAAACAAGACTCTCATACACACATACAATAAGACTGATCAACAACTTCTTCAGAGTTACCATTGGCCTCTTGACAGCTCCTCTTTCTAAAGGTATAATTACCCACGTTACTAGATTCAAATACGTTTTTTTATTTCAAGGACAACCCCTTGAGATGTATCATCTCATTTTAAGAGGGCTGTTGTGTCTCGATATTTTCATTTTCAGATGACTGATTAAAAATTACTCTCTGAAGTGTTTAAACCTTGGGATATATTTTTTCCCCCCAGCATTTTATTGTCATTACACTGTCATGAGTAAAGAGCAACGAAATTAACTCTCTGCATTTAACCCATCCCCTTGGGGATGGGATGGGCTACCATTGTGCTTTGATGAGGAGCAGTATGGCGGTTAAGGGTCTTTCTCAGAGTGGCAGTCTGTGGGGCTCGAACTCAGAACCTCAGGATTCAAAGCACAATGCCCCAGCCACTAGGCCACCAGTCCCCCTTTATTTAATTACAAAACCCTATTAAAATTCTCCATAACTTTTTACCTGGTCTTCATGTTTTTGCTGGTTCATCGATATCCTCTAACAAACCTCAGATGGAACAATAACACATACTGACATTAAATTAAAGTTAAGTCAACCTGTCTTTACTAGGTAGGGGACTTCTGGTGGTCATTTGTTGAACTAGACTTTATTATTTATTTAGGCATCATCTTTTTACTTCAGAAGTAAGAAATACTCTTTGATGGTCTAACAGACAGTATGTTTTTAATATGCATTCATGGTTCTGTTCTTAAGGTCAAAACATGTGACAAAGTTCCAGGCCTAAAAATACTTAAAGTCACTTTAATTGGAGACTGATAGAGCAAATGAGGACATGCCTCTTTGACTAGAAGGAGCAAATAATATAGCTCGACACTTGGGACTAATAAGCTGAAAACAGCAGGTGTTCAAGAAGTATTTGACTGACTAGTGATAATTTATCCGTTTATGTATACATTCCAAGAAAGAATACGCTTACAAACGGATTTTTTTTTTTTTTGTAAACATTTGTTTGATCCACTTGGGAAAATTCAGATCTTTGACATGACACCGTTGCTACAAGCAGAATAGAAGATAAGGTAGAATCTGTAGTAAAGAGGAAATAAAAAAATATTGCAGGAAACAGTTTGCAACCATTAGTAAAATAATTAACAACAATCTGCACACAAAAATACAGTTTCTCACATGGGCTTGTATGTTTTACCTGGATTTAATAAAAAATGATTCAGCCTTAGGCTAAAGCTTCATTTTACATAACAAGCACACCACCACCTCCTCCCTTTACATGAGTTACATGAGTATTGTGAGTAATGTGACCTTCTTTCATTTCACATATGTGGTTATACGGCTTCTGTTATGCTTAGACAAATCTCATTCCCAGCATTACAGATGGCAGCTTTATCCCCCACTTCCTCCTCATCCTCCACCCCTTTGAAGGGCAGACAACCCACATTACTTTTAAAGGCTCCAAAAAACTGTAAGGCTGCAAGGCTCACCTTAATCCCGGAGCTGCTGCCCACAGAGTAATGTGGAGTGAAAGACAGAGTTTGGTAAAGTCTTGCTACGAAGTTACGTAAATGCATTTTAACCTTGGCGGCAAGAAGGGGAGGACTGTCTTATTCAGTGAGAGGATGGATGGATGGATGGATGGATGGATGGATGGATGGATGGATGGATGGATGGATGGATGGATGGATGGATGGATGGATGGATGGATGGATGGATGGATGGATGGATGGATGGATGGATGGATGGATGGATGGATGGATGGATGGATACTGTGATTGTCTTTATCAGCTACAAGAAATGATAAAAACTTGCATAGATAACTGCTTAGTATCTCTGTTCTCAAAACTATTAAAATGGCAGGCTTTGTGATGTAATAAATCAGACAATAAGAAACAATATAACAACTCTTTTTCAATACAATGTGGCTTTTATCCTGCATTTCTTGGCTAAAAAGGCTCATCTTAGTCTAAAGTTTGTTAAATTATAGTCTGTATAGAGTCTGTATAACATCTTGAGGTCACCATATTTGGCCACTGACTGCAAAGCTTCTCCATTCTCTAGTCCATTTTCCTCTAGAAGTGTTTTTTTTTTTTTATCAGGTTTTGTCCTTGCCTTTGACTCTAAACAAAACCACCTCCTTCCTGATCAGTCTGGTTTCTCCCCTCAGACCAACCTGAAACTTCAGCTAACTTCTTGCAGTTCATTTCTTCCAGATTCTGGGTGCCTTTTGTAAATAAAACGTGAAAACTAACCGGTTCTCTGTGTGATTCTGCATATGTGTAAAAAAAAAAACAACAACTAACAACTTACAAATCAACTTGACAGACTGTAGCTCAAACAAAAATGAATTAATTATGTCATGCCCAGCCCACATGGGTTAAGACACAAGAAGATCCTAAGGAGCAAATCGCTGGAGTGTTGAAAAATAAGCTTCAATAACAAGTCAACCTTTATAGCCATTTAAATGCCTCTACGGGAATGCATTTCTCTGCAAACAGAGCGCTGTGGGGCTCACCATCTCCACCTGCAGCGGATCCAGTTGCAGAGGCAAAGAGGAGGGTACTGAAAAGTGAATCTTCTTCTGCGCGCCCCTGTCCTGCGCTCTCTCCATCATCTCTGGCTCTGTGGGTAGCAGAGGCTCCATCACTTCTAGGCTGTCTCTTCCCGCAGCCCTAAGCAATGACATCCGGTTTGATCCAGGTGATCGCGGCAATGTCGGTTCAGTTAGATGTTAATTATCCGATAGTCAGTTTGAAGCAGGTGTGAATAAATGGAAACATCTAACTGAGTCTCTGTTTCTCTCTTCGGAGGTTTTACAGCTTCCTCTCACTCTCTCATGCGTTTACCGCCCTCCCCTCAGTGAGTATCTGACCGTATGCCAGCCCCTATGTGATTACTGACCTGTTCCACTTAACGAGCAGAAACCGAGCTTTATGATGCTTTCAGTTGCAGTAGGAAATTTGTCATTTCAAAGTGGCCGAGCTAGAAATTGTGTTGCATGTGAGTTCAAAGTGGCCTCAATATTCTTATTTAGAGCCCCCCAATTTCTGCCAATAAAAAGTAAAAAGTATTTTTTTTATATCATTCACACATCTACTTTAAACGTGTTGCAGATTTTGCGGTGCAGCTTGTTGTCATGTTCTTAAATGCATTTTCTAGTGTTACTTAAAGTGACAAAATAAAGGAGCTTGCAGTTTATTCACAGTATAAGTTTCATTTGGTTAATAATTTTTGGTTACAAGAACAAAATGGCGAAAAAATAGTATATATAGAATATAGAAAATGACAGACATGAAAACTCAACTCAGTTCCACTTATTTATGTATAAAAATACCATGATTATCAAAATCCAGTCCGCGTTTTTAAACCAACACAAATATTTTAATTATTTCAGGTTTGCTTCCCAAACCCATAGGTCCACAAAAAAAAAAAAAAAAAAAAAAAAACATTGCATTTTATTTTTCAAAAGATTAGCCACCCAAGAAAAGACCAACCACATTTAGAGAGGATGCAGAACAGCTCATCTATGGTGGATTCATAGAGGAAAAACCTCAGGGATGTTCTTCTTTAATTATTACTTATCATATCCATTTATCTTTATTTTGGTCAATTGAATATGTTTATAAACTTAATTCCCATCACATATTCCAAAGGAAACATTCAGAGAAGTGCCATCTTCTGTCATGGTGAATATTTATAATATCTAAAGCCTCCTAGAAAAACCTGAATTGTTTAGCAGTTTTGTCAATTTTAAGAAAAACTAATAAAATAATGAATGAAGCATGTTAATCCTTAGCCTATTACCAAATATTCATACATAGTGTAGTTTGCATCGGTTTCAATTGCACTGGTTCCTGTATCAGTGCCAGTAATCCAGTAATAGTTTATTAGTTCCCCATTGTTTAATTTACTTGAACTGTAGAGAATAATTAATGAGCAAAGTTGTGAAATTCTTAGTTTAAAGTATATTTAAGATGCAAGTATTTTAGTAGGGCCCATTCTGCTTTACTTAAATTCTCTAAAAATTACCAGAATGTAGAAAATAATATATTGTGAGAAAAATGTTCCACATAACTACAGACCACTGATTGTTACCCAGTAACATTTACTGTACTATAAAAATCCCACATTTTGCCACTTTGTTTCAGTTAAATCTCCTGAAAACCTCCAACCTATAGCCGCACCTGTCCTCATCTAACCCTGACAGGGTTGCATGTCCAAACTTTTTCAAAATCTCACCCCAAGGTTTGGTGAAAAGTGGGCAGCCCTGTAACTATACAGTGGGGCAAAAAAGTATTTAGTCAGCCACCAATAGTGCAAGTTCTCCCACTTAAAAAGATGAGAGAGGCCAGTAAATTTCATCATAGATATACCTCAACTATGAGAGAAAAAATGAGAAAAAAAAATCCAGAAAATCACATTGTCTGATTTTTAAAGAATTTATTTGCAAAATATGGTGGAAAATAAGTATTTGGTCAATAACAAAAGTTCATCTCAATACTTTGTTATATACCCTTTGTTGGCAATGACAGAGATCAAACGTTTTCTGTAAGTATTCACAAGGTTTTCACACACTGTTGCTGGCATTTTGGCCCATTCCTCCATGCAGATCTCCTCTAGAGCAGTGATGTTCTGGAGCTGTCGCTGGGCAACACGGACTTTCAACTCTCTCCAAAGATTTTCTATGGGGTTGAGATCTGGAGACTGGCTAGGCCACTCCAGGACCTTGAAATGCTTCTTACGAAGCCACTCCTTCATTACCCGGGCGGTGTGTTTGGGATCATTGTCATGCTGAAAGACCGAGCCACGTTTCATCTTTAATGCCCTTGCTGATGGAAGGAGGTTTTCACTCAAAATTTGACGATACATGGCCCCATTCATTCTTTCCTTCACACGGATCAGTCGTCCTGGTCCCTTAGCAGAAAAACAGCCCCAAAGCATGATGTTTCCACCCCCATGCTTCACTGTAGGTATGGTGTTCTTTGGATGCAACTCAGCATTCTCTCTCCTCCAAATAGGACGAGTAGAGTTTTTACCAAAAAGTTATATTTTGGTTTCATCTGACCATATAACAGGGGCGCAGATAGGTTTTTGAAACTGTGGGGGACAGTTACTATAGGGCTTGGTCATCGTGACGTAAGCACTTCGCGTCGCCGCCATGTTGAATGCGTCTTTTACAGCAGCTCAGACTACTGCCTATGACTACCGCGTACTGTACTCCCTCTCAGCCGTGTTTTAATTTGATTAATTTCACCTTAACTTGATTTCAACCATGGTAAACCGTTGCTGTATTGTGGGCTGTAACAGCTCAACACATGATCGCCATGGAAACATAGAAAATGGGTTAACTTTCCACCGCTTTCCTGACTGGAGGCGTAACCATGGAGACCAAGCGTCAGAGATAAAGAGTCGTCGGGTAGCTTGGATCGCGGCTGTAAGACGACCGAACATAACTTTCCACAGTATTCCGATGTCAATGAGAGTGTGTTCCCTGCATTTTCATTCTGGTAAGTTAAAGATGCACGGTTTTATTTTATAGCCTACAGTGTTTCTTTCCTTCAAAGTTGGGATCTTTTACGGGAAAATAATAAAAACGGCAGCGGGAAAAGGCTCAAATACGCGAGAAACCCGGAGGGTTGGCAGTTAACGTTACTAAATACACCTTTGAAACACATAGCAGCTAGTTAAAAGTACATTACATGCGTGAGTGGTTGTTAGCCTTAGCGGTTAGCAGTTGCTAAACTAGCAGGTTCCAGAGCCCCTCTGATCACAGCTTACCTTCGTACGGATTACTGTGTTCCCACTGTTTGCTGGCTTTATGATCTGCAGCTCCTGAACCCATCCATTCATGAACTGCACATGAGACTCCAGGGACTTGTAGCTTGGGAACTGTTTTGAAGTATAGGCGCTCACTCATCGGTGCTCCACTCATTGTTTGGAACTTTATATGGATCCAAATGATTAATAATGCTGATTTTGTCAACATACCGGTCCATGGCTTCTCTATTTAATGTGTCCCGGTAAATTCCAGATCCTTTTCGGGATTTTAACATCTTTTTTCTCTCTACTTCTGTCTCTTCTTTCAACAACAACGTTGTGTCAGAGCTATGCTTACGTTTGCGTAGCAGTCAATATGGCTGCGACGTCCCACAATGCAACGTGGATCCTGAGCCCTATTACTGGCTATTACTCAGCTATGACAACCCATCAATCTTAATTGCCCATCATTGCAAGAAAATAACATGTATTGGTACCAAGTACTCACCAAACATGCCACATGACGTGTGAAAAAAAAAAGGTTTTATTTAAACATGGACTGACTTTAAGTGCAGGCTGTAAACACACAGAAACACGAACAGCAAAGCCTACATATATACAAAAACAAATTTGTAAATAAGTACTTTACATGGCTTTTCAATAAATGGCCTCAAATGAAGAAAGTTGTGTGTCTACTTTGTCAAGAACTCTGTAGAACTCCACTTTGTGGTACTCCACAGCAGATTCTGGCCTGTGTGCAGGTGCTGGCCCAGAATATCTCTTTGGGGGCCTATGTGTTCGAGACAGCTTCTCAGCCATATCCACTGCTTCCTTAAAGACTGCCTCAAAGTGGGCTGGCTTTCTTTTGTCCCGTAATCTCTCTTGGACAACTGAGACTGCAGAGACCATGCCCTCCAATGTCTGGGTGCTTTTTTGGAGCGATGTATTCAGCACTTCCAGTTCGCTCATTACATCTAAGGCCAGTGAGCCCCAGTAGCCCCAATTTCAGTAAAATCTCAGGCTTTTAAATGTTGTAAAATCACCCATAAGTTTTAGGTGTTTTAGTCCTTTATAATTAAATTTATACATTCAAAAAACATAAGGAAGTTATTATCAACGTCTCACTCTACTTTACAGCTTTGTATTAACATTGCTTTAATGTGTGTTATTGTGTACAGCTGGGGATGTTAAGGGCCATGTTAATTATAGATTAAATAATTTACTGTTCTGTAGTTTAAGCAATTGTCATATTTGTAACATCACTAGTCTTTCCTGTGACATGCACCTTTTATTTATTTATATATACACACACACACATTATATATATATATATATATATATATATATATACATTAGGGCTGCAACAACGAATCGATAAAATCGATAAAAATCGACTTTTAAAAGCGTTGGCAACGAATTTAATCATCGATTAGTTGTGTCGCGCGATTAATGCATCATCCGCCGCCGCCGTCATCCCGGGGAAGAAAAAAAAATATGGCGGAGCGAGTCAGCGCCGCAGTTGCAGTGTTGCCAACTCAGCGACTTTTCAGACCCCTCCAGCGACTATTTTTTTAAAAAGCGACTAGCGACAAATCTGGCGACTTTTTACGGTGTCACTGGCGGCTTTTGGAGACTCTTACGTGAAAGCATGTATCGTTCCTACTCTTGTCCTCCAGCGGCAGCTGCTGCCGTGGAGCGCCTCCCCCATCCCAACGCCTTTCTCCCTCTCCCACAAGAATCCCTCTCAGCGCTGCAGTCCGAGCCGCAGGATTTTAGTGAGGAGTTTACCCTCAGCGTCCAGACTGCAAATGAAGCGCGCATGCCCCGGGATTGACGGCGCAAATTGATCACAATAATTAAAATAGCCTTTGTAAAGTGAAAAAAGTCGTAACATGCAACTTTTGTAAAGACAAATAAACATGGCACGGAAGCACCACTGTTATGACGCAGCACCTGAAAAGAAAACATGTTGGAGCCTTCGATGGCAGTGAAGAGAGCTGATCAGCAGGATGAGTAACCATGTTTGTTTCATTTTAAAGTGGGGAAACGTAACGTTAGTTTCTCAGGTAGCTCATCTGATGCTTTCCTTAGCTTGTTAGTAGGTTACAGACAGTGATAAGGTTGGCTACTTATTTT